ACCGATTAGGTATAAAATCTGCATTATTTTATTTACTTCGTAATAACTTGTGACGGTATGGCTAAACTTAAAATTGGTAACAGTATCGAATCAGCAAGAGCGTGTACGGAGCCATCCCTAACGTGTATTTATTTGTTCAGATAAGCACATTATACACTTATTTCTGTAATTAACAGGTAAATGTGTGTATCTAGGTAGCTAACACTTTAGTAGTAGTTCATTTTAATTTTAATTTTTAACGATACATGAAAGTACCTATGTTATATAAAAGGGTATCGAGTCACATAATTTTAAGACCAGGATATAAATTATACCTATTTATTGAAACGGCATGGCGGACTGCCAAACAAATTCGTACTAAACCTAACGTCACAGTTAATTACTTTATCTGCTTTCTATGAAATGATTTTTGTTCCGTCGATGTATTTTGTGTTGAAATTATATTCTTATGACATCATCACAATTTTCTGCGCTTATCGTGTTACTCAATCAGAAACACTGTTGCTCAGACAATGCCTTAATCAAGTAGTTAAGATGGTCTAATTTGTTGCCCGCCGATATGCCTCGCTATGCTCTGTACTGACGTGTTTGGTCAGCTGGAGTACGATTTTAGATCAGTGACTAGAGATCTGCCATCTATTATGGCCTGCTTTGTAGCAATAACAAATTTATTCCATGCTAAGACAACAGCAATGGATATTAATTCCAATTCTAATCAAATTTATCACATCGTCCGACAACGTGGCAAACCTGGTGAGCAGTGCAATAAAATAATATATTAAAATAATTTGAATTGGTCGATGTTAAGTTTAGAATTATAAGACCTAAATAAAACTTGTATACTTTTACGCTCATAACAGGCCTAAAAATAACCTTTTGGTTATATTTAAATATACCAGACTATCTATCTATACAAACAATTAGGTGTCTGTTTGTAATGACAAAAAATGTTTTTTCATGCTAACACGGTTATTTGCACGATACCTATGCCTAAAAACCAGTTTAAATATTTATTGGCTGTCTGTCTCTCTGTTGGTTTCTTCAGGGTGATCAAAACGGCTGGACCGATTTTGATAATATTTTACTACCAGGTAACTGTCTATATAAGGAGTAACTTAGGCTATTTTTCCTCTCAGAAAAACCCTATAAAAATTTTGGCCGGCCGGTTACCAGCTAGTATTATAATAAGAGTACGGACTATTTACATGCATGCGTCATACATAACTTTTCCGCATCATCGCCTACTAATAATGTTCCTAGAAGGCTGTCAGCATTGCCACGTTGAATGGCAATGCTAAAAAAAACAAAGGTACAACTCTACAGATAATTAAATATCTCCTCATTATCGCCAATAAGTGACGTTGAAGCTTGTTAGCATATCCATATTCAACAGTAATGTTAGTTCGTTGCGTAAGAAATAAAAGCCTTTAACCCGATGGAGCCTCGATTCCTAATACGTTAGCTTACTAAATAAACAGGCCGAGAACTCGAATCCCATTAACAGAAGAAAATCAAAGCACCCGAAATGGCCTATTGTTTGACAAAAAAAAATCATAAGCATTGGAATGATAATATTTGATTTTATCAATAATATTATGATCGATTACGAATTACTACTGAAATACATTATCTGACAATAAGAGCGCATTGTAGTGTAATATCTCTTACTAATTTAGTTTTCGTATTCAAGTATTATATAATGTATACCTATTATATATCTGATATGATATTTTTTATCATATTCTACTTATATCATATTAATGCATCAGTCAGTCATCACAGCCAGTGGCGTAGCTAGTAGCTACCGAAGGGCTAGACGCAGTGCACCGGGGCTTCTAAACTTAGGGGGGCCTCGGACCCTGACTAACAAACCTCGTATTGAATTAGCTAAAAATTCTCCCACCTTTGGAACGTCAATAAAATAAGCCGGCCGGAGGGTTACCGTTTATTTTGTTTTTATTTTGGCATATGAGTAAATAATGATAAGATAATGATCTCGTTAAATTTTTGAAAAACTACAGAGGACCAGTAAAACGATATCGAACTTTGCATTTTTGCATTTAATATTGAGGCTTATGAGAAATCATAATTTTATTAAAAGTACCGTTTGGATTCCATTCAAAATTGAGAAAATGAGAGTAGGGCCCCAGTTTTTTTTTGCACCAGCGCCTTTGGTTATCTAGCTACGCCTCTGGTCACAGCCCCCCCTAATCCCGTCACTCCTAATCTATTCTCCTCATCCCTCGGTTCCGGTTGCCTGTAAGAGATTGCCTTTTGCGATAAGGACGCTTATTGTACGAATCGCTCTTTAGTTGAATGTTTTGTTTTGGTGTGCTGGTGTACTATACAGACACAAGCAACAAAGACAAGGGGCTAATTAATTATTAATAATACATTAATTATTAATAAGCCTTTATTTACTTAGCTGTCCCAGAGATTGGTTTAATTGTATTAGCATAGATATCCTTTTCTATAAACAGGTTGGTAGGGCTAGTATGTTTGTACTTGGGGAAATATAACACACGAAAGATTACGCCTTGATATTTCCTCATTTGCACAGATAAGCGGTATATCAACATACATAAGATATACTAATTATCATTTTTGTAACTTAAATCATCATCTTTTTTATTATATTATGCGAAACGGCCTACTTGAATACGTACTCAACTATTTTCATAATCAATAATCATCTATTTACTATTGTTTAATTGTTAAAATTTTCTTTCTCACTGCGCGTTTTGGTAATTCAATCTAATCTTATATTTGTGAATAGTATAATTACCTATATTCATAGACTCTACAAATATTGTATTATTGACAAATAATGCGTCTTGAAGCTGGAATAAATCATGTAGATTGACAGAAGAAGTATTTATTGTATTGACTTACGTGACGTGACCAAATGACTAATTTCGATGTAGACGTGGATAAATTAATCACTTTTGTTGTTACTCAATGTTAAGATTCAACAAACAAACAAACAACAAGCTAAATAATAATTTTACGAGATCCGAATGTTATCGTCCGCAGTTCATACTCGTATATTGAGACGGTTCCAATCCGTAACCTCTGAGGTGTAAATCCGCCCGTGGGTCCCAGTAAGCACTTCAACCGCAGGGTACACAAAATATTGATAATACAAAATATGTTTATTGTAAACAGAACACACCCCGAGTAAAAAAACAGTACAATGACTATAACTTAAGTATTTATAAGAATCAGTCCTCTCCAGTATTTTGAAAACTCTTCATTGTCATCATCATCAGCCTATCGACGTCCACTGCTGGACATAGGCCTTTCCCATTGCACGCCATTTCGATCGATTTTGGGGTTCTCGCATTCAACTCCTGCCAGCCATCTTGCGCAAATCATCACGCCACCTGGGGCGTCCTGCACTACTCTACTTTTTGAAATCTTTAAAAAATTATATTTTTTTTTTACTGATGTCAAGTAAAGTGTTAAACAGTTACGAAAGAGAGATTCGAAATCAAAAATCTATATTTATTAACAGTTTACTCACGTTTCATAAAATACCAATACCAAATATACTTAACACAGTCTGGTTTGAAGTGCATTACGTACGGTCTGATAGTAAAGAGCCAGGCAATATTTATGACCACAAAACCCCTTTTAAAAAGTCTTAGAATAAAACTCCACAAAAACCTGGTTGATAAGAAATTCTTTTCATTGCAATTGTGACGATAAAATCGTATGAAGCTACATACTCGTATACACATATGTTTGTAGAGTGTTTTATCTTTTTCCTACGGCCTAAATACCTCACGCTTCCAATTTAAAGATGACATATGTATACAAAAAAGAACATAAATTATGACCTCTAGTGTGGAACAATAAGTACCTAACATGAAACCAGCCAGTCGAGTCAATTTTAATAAAGTTATATTGTGATAATGTCGTCATAAATTGAAATGCCTAAGTAAATCATTTTTACAACTTGAATTATAATAAAAGAACAATCGGAAATTACATATTGTTATATTGTAACAAACTAGTCAGACTTTAAATCAACCAAAACCTATAATACCTTGCACAGAAGACCTCTCACTTATGATCTTTTTAAATCGTCATATGTATGTATATTATGTTCAATAGCATGCAAAATTCAACTTATACATTGCAACGAAAGTCCCAAATAAATCTCCGATGATGTAGATTCAAAGAGTTTTTAATAATATGTAACTTACTATACCACATTAGCATATTAATGCACATTACGGTGACAAGGGGAAGGTTTTAAAATCAATTGATTCATTTCGACATTGATAGTAATAATTATATTATTAGAGTGGAAATTACAAAGTTGTCGGAAACGGAAAGTCTATTTCAATATACCTAAAACATAATACGTCCTCTAAACAAATATGTATGTCGTAACACAGGCAGTTCTGAGATAGCGCATTTTAAGGATAATTTAGATTTTTGCTTACTATTGTTGTTATTTTAATTAGATTATCTAAAAAAAATAACTAAATATGTAATAAAATGGAAGAAATGAAATGAAAATAAAATAAAGTTTTAACTTGGGTTTGTGTCAAAACTGAATTTTACTTGTTTCAGCTTTTAGGGAATTATTTGAATGCTTATTGAATCTTAAGGTGAATACTAAAGAAGATATTATTGAAAGGAGGAAACTTAAATTTAAAGTAAAGTATTTGTAATACATCTGTGGTATAGGTACGTTAAAAGTTCTTCCCCTTAAATGAGTGTATATATTGAACTAGTGATGAAAATGAATGTCATATATTACGTTCAATATTAGTTGGAAATATCCAAGGTTTATAACATTTTCCGTGACTACTTGTACTATACGGAATCTTAATCAAGAACCAACTAGTAGTTAATAATTTGTAAAGATATTTCTATACAAGGATCCCCAAATCATCCACATCCATAAATGAGTACAAAATATTTAAAAGTTTTTTTTAATAAATAATTAAAACGCACAAGTCTTAAAAGTTCACTTACACAATTAAAAATCACAAAAAACAACGATTTTCAAATATTTTCTTGTATTTGAAAATCTGTTTTAGCTTCTCGAATAACTTGGAATTTCTTTCTGTGCTTTTGTTTCTACAATTCTTCTTTAAAACCATTCCATTGTCTACAACATCTTTAGTTTCACTATTGTTTAAGATATTAATGCTATTATTCGAGGATATTATTATAGCATGATTGGCACCAATCACTTCTATACTGCCAAAATTCTGCAAAACATCGATGCTGCACTCGTTACCGATCATCATCACACGTCCCATGTTTCTGTTTATTTTGATGTAGTTATTGTCGCCTAATATTTTTAAACGATTATTGTTCAGCTCCATCTCCATTTTTAAATTATTCCCCAGTAAAGAATATTTCTTCATTGTTAATATCACTTACACACATTTATTCTTAGCAGATAAACAGCAATGGTGTCACGGCAAAGTCTCGCGCTACATTGACTAACAACGGGATTCCAATCGTACTTTATTTAGCGGATCCGTAATAATTTCAACGGTGATTCCCCCCGGTGAGACTCGTCATCGTTTTGAACTCAATTAGTTTAAAATTATTTATGCATTATCTTAATTTTTACCTTACCGCAATCGTAGCAAGTCAATTGCAAATTTGACCTCTGCCAATTTGTATTATTTCCCACGATCACATTGTGTTTATTTATGTACAGCTTTCTGGCGTTTCATATTTCACAATTGGCATTTGCATGGTGTTTATATTAAACTATTAAATTATCGATTAATCTTGTCATTCGATTGTAAGGTATGTTCCTAAGCTCTAGTTCGTTAGCGTAGCTCTGTGTCGTTCCTAAGCTCTAGTTTGATCAAGAATCAAATCGAATTTAAATGCGCATCTTGAAATCATAACGAAGTGTAACATGCCGCGTGTATTACGTCGACATAGATTTTAGCGTGTGTAGGCAAAAGGAGTAGCCGTTAACCCGGTTTTCAAAGCGTGTACAAAAAAAAACAAACGAGACGTTTGCTGACCCAGACCAACATGCTGTCATCATACCTATCAGTTTATTATTAGTAGTACTGAAAAATATAAGTCATGATTTCTTGATAAAACGTATGAGTATGTAATCTGTAACAGTTGTTGTTTGATGATATTCTATTCCCTACAATACCATGTTATTACTAAACACCGCCATTTTAATTTTGTAGAGAATAACCGTTTCGGTTCGTTGTCAGTTTCGCGAGAAGGCGGGTTCTCGTTAGACGATTACTGGGACCTGTTATTTGACTCACCGGCAATCGCATCCAACTATTGGTACCTATAAAACGCCTTTTTCATCTTGCGTGAAATTGCCTTTTGATTGTTACTTTTAACTTGTTCTGTCTCCAGATATACGTTTATTAAGACAAAAAAGTTGATAGTTTAAGATTAAATCTTGATTTAGTCTTCTTTTGAAGCTTTTTTTTACTATACAAACGACATTAAGTACTTCACATTAATAAAGTCTAAAACAACTTATTTTTGAGATATGACTTATAGTTGTGTCCAACAATGTTGAAGCTTTTTAGGTGCATGACAATAGTAAGTTAAGTTGTTGTTTGATTCACATGTACTTCAACATAATTTTTTTTTCCACCAAAGCGTATCAATTATAAATACTAATGCGAGACAGAAACATAGACAAATATTCTCGTAACAGTTAACCGTTTTCTCAATTTGTTTATTCAACGTTATATTATTTACTGATTTTTAAATTTGACTAGCTGTGTCTCGCAGTTTCGCATGCGTTTATAGTCATTTCTTCCTTTCTTATAGTGGAAGCGTGATGCCATACTACTTTTAATCTCCATCAATGAATACTCTATTCAAAAAAATCTTAAGGTTTATTGAAGTAATACTTCTTTACGCACGCTTGACTTGGGGAGTAAACTAGTAAATGTGTGACGAGAGCATTACGAAAAGTGTGATCGGGCGAGGCGAACGAAAAAAGTTGAGAGACGTTTCGTATTTTACTGTAGGGGGCAAGAGAGAGAGGTGCGAGCACACATTTTCTATCTCTTTTTCTCTCATAGCCAAGAAGTTTTAATTCAGCCGTGTGGTCTAAAGCACACTCGTTTTTTATATTAGTTTAGATTCGCTATGTACACTAACGTCTCTAGTACAAATATTATCGTACTAAAGTTATTGTAAATATTAAAAGGAGCTTAGTATAATAAAATATAGTTATTGGCCGAGAGATTTGATTTGGCGACGTTCTCGATCTACTTATATATAACTTTACGTTATTGCAAATAAAGTAGCGTGTCTAGTATTATGTCATCTGTGCCAAACACAACGGTCGTTGTGATCAGACGTTATTAAAATGTATTAGTTACAATAACAGAAAACTTTGTTTTTCTCCCACCACTGATTGAATGAAGTATCGGGACGGAGTTTTTATTTTCAGTGTTTATTGTGTCTCTGTCTCTCTCTCTTCTGTCTGTCTGACTTCTCTTTCGCCTTAGTTTATGCCATCTTTCACGGTCTTGTGCCCAATAGTCTTTGATGTCGAACGCGTTTGTGGTCTTCCTGGGCGAGGGCGTTTCTTACCTTAAGGCCTTCAGTCTAGTCTTGTGTATGGTCAGCATGGCCAACCCACTTTACAATTATTATTCTCTTGACATCGTTCACTTTGCTGTGTTCTTATTTTGTGTAAAAAGGTTTAAATTGACTTTAAATAGCAAAATAAATAGAGGTGTGAAAATAATGTCATTGTCTATTTTTTTTTTTGTTTTTAGGTATGTGTGGTTATGTTAAAAGTGCTAAAAAAGTTCTAATTAAAATAAGGTTTTATTCAAAAATGTATGTTACGTTCTACGGTCAGCATGATTTTATAAAATCATTTTCAAGCCTTGGCGTTAATGGATGGCTCTAAACTGAACCAGTAAATATAAATTTACGACAGCAATATTATTCGGATTGCAGTAGGTATTTGTTTACCGATATTACCTTCCTTACGAATGTATAACTGAAGATTCAACAAAAAGCTACAGTTGCAGTAAAATCTATGCTGCATCGCTAATACAAATTTCCATCGCCTAAAAAATAGTGGCATGTTGTCAACACTACTCGTACGACGCAAATCAAATGAGATGTTTGAAACAATAGTTCCGCTAATAACTGTACGAATGCCATCAAATTGCCGTTTAGTTTATTTTAGTACGTGGCAAGACTCAGCAACATAGGACACCACTACTTATTCTACTACTACTTGAAGTTTCCTTACAAACAAAATCTTCTCTTAATTTTTTTTAGTCGGTTAGTGGTTAGAGGGCTCGTACTTTCCCCGGCTATCAAATTTATCTCATTAAGCAATATCCTTTTCCTACTTCTTACCTAATTTTTTTTTCTTTTATTATACTTCTAATACCTAAAGTGCCTGGGTAACGGCTGTATGCTTGCCCCTACTATAGAAGAATGACTAAAATAAAATAAATGTGAGCGTTTAATACGCTCTTTGTCTACTCCTTCAGGATACAGAGGTGAGTGTATGTGTTTGCATGATGTATAAATAAAGTGACCTAATACAACTTTTTTTTTCTTTAAAACTTTGGCACTTTATCGCTTTAAATCGTCTTCAATATTCGGCATGTGGCTGGCTGCCGGCCGAGTCGCGTTTCTTGGAATTAAATGTCGCATCGCTTCAAATAGTTCGTTGCACTATCTTCGCGTTTTACCATACAGCTAACGCTGACCTCACTCTAATCGTAATTTGTCGTCACATTGTATTCATGATTTTTTTAACCCAATAAAATAACAATGCTTAGCATATTGTCTGTTCTGTGCCAGTTCTCGAACTTTTCATCTTTGATAACCTTATACATAATACTATACTATGCTAATTCTTTGAATTAAGGCAGATAAGTTTATTTATTGTGTTATCTGTGTTAATACTGATGTAAAGGCATTTGTAGTGACCTGAGAAAACTTATTTAACCAATTAGCATTGCGTAGTAATGGGAACTGTTCCAAATTATTGTCTTTCACAATTAACTTGTTATTCAATAAATTACATTTTTTTTTATTTGCCAATTTGATCATGTTAATATTTTAAACTACTCCGTACTCTTTTTATTCGCCATGAAAGAAATATTTAAAAAATATGCGGAACAATGCCGGTAAATAGTGATTTAGCTCTGCAGTCGAAACCCACTGACTTAGATATTTCTGTCGTGTTATATATTTTCAAATTACTTGCAAACTCTACAAAATATTTTTAACCTCGAAGAGCTGTATGGACGTCAACCAGTACAAAATGTACAATATGCGTTGACTGATACTTGTACAGTACATACTTCAATAATCTTTACAACAATCATATCCACTTATAAATACCATGTTCACCTTTGTTTCAACTTGTAATTTCTTAATAGACAATTGAGCAACCTGACACTTGCATGCCATTGGCGAACTGACATAAGTCGTGATCACGAAGTCTGACCCTGTTCATTCGTAAACAGATGATTACTGTCATCGGCACGTGACCAGTTTGGTAAACTATAAATATATATAGAGAATAAATTTAATCTGATCTCAAGTGTCGTCTGAGTTTCGCATAATATGATGATGATGTTAATGATCTCTTGACACCGCGATTAGGCAAACGTACTGTAAGGTGCCCTGCGTCGCGATGGACTGACTTCAGAAAAGTCGCTGGTTGTGGATGGATGCGAATTCTAAAAAACCGGGATAGTTGGCGCTCCTTGGGGGAGGCCTCCGTTCAAAACTTCGACGGCGATAGGCTGATGATGATCTGTTAGGTCTACTACAGTCTGTTACGTTTCCGCATTCGAGACTTGCGGTATATCTTATCGTAGCTACCTCGCCCTATCGTTTTCCCTATCCCAATTTATCCATTTTGTTTTGTCCCGTATGAAAATATTGCTTTCCCAAGAAGGGTTGGCCTCAGGCATGCACAAAACCAGACAAAACCTTTTGCAACGTTATTATTGTAATATTTAAGTTATGAGTAATTGATGTGTGTATTTTGTATTGATTGGTATAGGTAAATGAGTTAGATGATTGATGACGGCCATGAAAGGCCAATAAGCAAGAAATCACAATTCACATCCTTGATTCCTAATACTTCTACAACTTAAATAACATAATAATATGTACATGGTTTTGTTACAGGATATATATATATTTTATTTACTGAGACTTAAAAAATCAGCTAACGTGATAGATTTTGATATTGAACTTTTTGAATATTCGGATAGAATGTTCTTATCGACTGCTGCTTTTTTTAGCTTTCAAATTAAAATTAAATAAAATTTTACAAAATTTAATTTTTCATTTGCTTTTTCCGAAAAGTCTTCTCAAAGTTACCATACTTTTAATTCAATAAATGGATTTTTAAACAAACAATTGTCTATGCAAAAAAGAACAAAAAAACAACTGAATATCAAACCAAACACGTTAAGTCCAACTTGCTTAATTTGATAACTAAATTAGGTAAGTAAGTTACAAATTGTAACATCTGACGTAACATAACAAAGCTGTTGTGAATTTTTCGTTTCGTTTTCGTCTGGCTACAATTGTATGATATAATATAACAGAAGTAGGTTGTGATTGTCGTGAGAATAACACTCTTTTCAATTGAATGTATGTAGTTATACACATTTCGAGGTATATTTCAATGAGTTATACAATTATAAATAGACCTAGTTTCTGATAATGACGGAAATACGGTTATTTTTCTAAGTCGATGTTAACGTTATTAAAGTTTTTGTGAAATTTTTTATTTGAGTGAAATTTTAGAAAAGCAGAGTTGAATAATCCAATGAATGATTCTAAATTTAATTAATTATTGTAACTTAAAAAGGAATCGATTCCTTCAATTATTGTGGGTATACCCAGTAGTGTAGTCTTATCATAATATCGAATAATACCCGCATTAAATGTAACTGTAATTACTGCATATAATAAATACCAGTCTGGCGTCAATTTAAAGTTCAAGTAGGAGGTCAATTGCCAATTTCCTCCGAGATTGTCAGTGTCTAACTGTTTATTGAGAGATCTATGTACCAGTTCGGAGACTAGGCGTAATAAGAATTTAACAACATCGTCCTCAAATTTATCTAACTTAACAATTACACTAAGAATTTTATGATTTCCTTAGTGGTGAAAAAGTATTAAAATCCTACGTGTTTTAAACGGTTGGTTTTTATTTCAGCATAACTTAAGTTAACTTAAATTATTATGTGATATACTTTATATGTATGTTTGATCCATAAAACTTTACTTTTTATGGTATTTCACACGGCGTCAAAGACACCCTAATAAGCTCTCACCGTGAAATGGTAGACATCACTGTTCAGGTACAAATTCGGGACTCGTCTAAAAAACAAACTTGACAGCCAACGTCCAACGTAATATATTAATGAAAAGATGTGTTATAAAAAAATATATAAGAATTTAAATTTTAAAAGGCGGCGCGTTCAAGCAACTGTGCCAGAGTTTGTTTGAGTGTTCGAAAAAGAAAACAAAAGTGGGGACGTTCTTTTCTCCTATTTGCCTCTGACCTCGGTTCTTATTGACAAAGGCTGTCAGAATGAAATATGGCGCGCCTTTAACGAAATAGAGATTAGGTGAACGTGGACGATATTATTTCACGTCTTTTGTAAACTATCGGTGCGGCAAAGCTCTGTTTGCCATCCAAAATGCATTTTACCGTGTCATTTTTTAATCACCTGTTTAGCTCTGACGAAGGTTGCATGTTTTCTTAGGATCATTGTTATGATGTATTATATATCATTATTTGGCCCGGTATTTTTAAATGTCACAAAATTTTATGAAATACTTTGAAATGATAATTATGTTATCTTACATAAGAGCTTTACGAGTATATGGATTAGATTATTATATCGACACAATACACGGTGTTTAAAAACCAGTAATTATTTCTGCAACTGTTTTTATCAACAAGCCCTCTCGGTGACGAAGGTAGCGTGTGGTCTGTTTTGGCTGTATGACCATTACAGGCTAGGGGTTCTTCTAAAGTCTTTCGCCAATTGAAGTTTCTTTTAGAAACATACTAAAAGTTCCCCGCAGTTTCGCCTTTTTAGTCACAACTCTGCTCTTCATCCGTGTTAGGTTTTAAATTTGCTTCATAATTTAAAAAATATTTTAATAGTTATTTTTTTATACGGGCCCGAGACAAATCCAAAACAATCATAAATATCAGTCCAGTCGTTCCATCAATTCTGAATCTAATGATTTTACATTTAATGATTTTTTCTAAATGTACATCTTAAAAATCTTCTCTAATACTGTGCTAATTTAGTTTAAACACAAGTTCAATTCTAGTCACTAATTGAATATAAATGATAAAAATCTGGGGTATAACATATCAGAAGGTAATGGCGCCTGTGTTAGTTGACTAACATATTCGAGAGGGCCGGGCGGGGAGGTAGTGGTCTCTAGAGGGACGATAATGAAGCGGCGCGTGTGGCTGAGGGCAGACACAATAGCAGCCGCCGCCGCCGCCCGACGCGCCAAGCCTTCTCAGAACCGGTCCCGAGGGCAGCGCTCTGCCGAATTTTGCGTCGACCACCCATCGCCCCCCGCGCTGCTTTACCACGCGTCGAGCTGCCCGATACTTATCGCACCTGTATTTATGACTAGAAACACCATTACAGATATAGTCCCCGGGCGAAGAAATCGCAAAGTCAAGACCACCCGTTGTAGTTTCTGTTGCCAGTGTAATAAATCGTTTTGTGGTCTGTGGCCACAGTACGCAAACTCTGCGTTTGACTTATGCTTAGCAACAAGCGTAGCACACTCATAAATTTTCTGAGTGAAGGACACCGATCTTGTTCTTTAGCAGACTGTTAACACTTCGATTTACATTTTTTATCTTTTTTCAATAGTCATCTTTAAAGTCTTGCTTGAGAGTTTGAAAGAGAGAGATAAAGGGCACCGCTAGATTTCGATGCAGCGCGCAAGTGAGATGGAAAACTGCACCGCTAGTCGGTGCAACGATCTCGCCTACTTAACGTCTACTCTATTGAGTTTGTAGTGTTGTGATCACTGTTCAATTGAACACCATCGACGTAAGGCTGAGTTGATATTTAGTGTTATACAGATGAATGATATCTTTATTACCTCTGATAAGGTTTTCTACAACAAGCCAACAAATAATTCTTTAAGATATTGTTTTAAGGCCCTTTATGAATAAATCAAGTGTCCTCTTAAACATCAACTTCAAGAAAAGTTTTGGCATGAAACTGTAAATTAGTCAATGTAAAAATGATTATTTTATCGTATATTCGTTGTTGACGCATACAACGATAAATTCAAAAGTGACTTACATTAAAGAGATCGTAAATGAACTTAACTGTTGCCTTTTTGTGACCACATTACGTATAGATGACGCATCTACCTAAAAGCTTATACTAGTAAGTGCCAATATTACAGAATGTGCATGGTATTTAGTAATCAAGTTTTGTAACTTCTATGTTTACAATGTTTATAGCAGAAATTGTAGCTATATGTAGACAGAAACACATTGAGATAATTACCCTTTATAATAGGATAGGACTGTCACAAATTACTGACACTGCATTGAAATAGTTACTATTGGTCGATAAATATTTATCGACCCGACCCAGCCCTGTGGCGTACAGTTCATTGAGTAAACCTGTGTCCCAGGCTGCGCAGGCGCGTCGCCGCGGGCGAGCACGATCCTGCTTTTGTGTGTGTCTGTGTGTCAGCCACTTATTTGTTGTGAGCACTCGTAAGCTTAGAAGCTTGCCGGCGCGGGCGCCGTTCTCCAACGTGTTTCGTTAACTTTAACAGTTGTTATTTTATATTTATTGTTGTTGTTCGTTTCTTTCGGAATTATGGTTCAGTTTTTTTATAATTCTCTGTTTTTAACAAAATTTTAAATGACTTATTTATATCGTAAATGTACGTTAGGAGCTATGAGTGCGTTCGAAATGTCTACTGCAGTTTCTACTATGACATTTAGAGATGTTATTGAATCAATGAATATTATAAAGAACTAAACGAAAGCTTGTTTAATAAACATAGATTTCCGCGTTGACTTTGCCATCGGCGACGCAAGCGAGGGAAAGTTAACTTTCTGAATACTGATCGATTAAAAGTAAAAGTGCCTGCCATGTTCTTTGAGAATTTTGATTTGCGTAATAATATGTTATGTGAATTAAGTATGAGATCGCTGCATACTGCGCACTGAATTTTTAATATAATTACACTATTATTCCGTCTATGAAAAGAATATAAAATAGATCATTTTAACCATGGTCCGTTGGCTAATAAATTGTTGTAGTAGAAAGCAGAGGGTGCTTAGTAGAAATAACATGTGGTTCCAGATATTTATATTAAATTCATTGAGGAAGGTTACAAACTACGTAACATCACACTTCGTTTCTTCAGGATAGGATCTGAAAGCACATGGTCCGGGTCCTCCCCAGAGTAGGGCGCCTGAGGCCGGCCGTCGGGGTGTTTTTTAATGGAAACACCGCATACTCCTTGCTTCTGCGTCCCCTAAAAGCAAGACGTCCTTAGGGATTTTCCATCCCGCCAAAAAAGGAGTAGTGACCATTAACCGCTACTAAGTAATAAATTATAAGAAACTCCACTCAAAACTTCCAAAAGAGTAAATATTGTTTATAGAAATATACACAATGTACAATTAGGAGAATTATTTATGATAAGGCTTTAACACCTGTATGAATCGTAGGTACCTTAATGTCATATCATTATTGATACAAATGAAATCAACAATATCTGTGTATATCAAGGCAATTAATAGCGCCAGAAATGTACGTCATAAAAGTATAATTAGTTTTGATACACAGATAAATACACATATAATTATGTAATACATTACACTAGGAGAGTTATAAAGTTATACACAATAAAACCGATGTGATAGGCCTCTACGAGTAAAACATTTGGAAAAAAATAATTGTTACGATTTCACAAAAGTTACATTAGTTATCTAACTATGTATGTATATATTTAGTAAAATACTGCGTCAAATTTTAGGCTTTTTTTATTGTCGAGTCTTCATAGATTATACTTGCAAAATTGTGTGTTAACTACATTTAAATAAGGTTTCGATCCTCTAATGAATTCTCATTAGTAAAAATTACTATTACATGACTGAAAAACATAAGTTTTTGATAATTATGAATTCTTCCTTTTGTGTTATGTAATACAGGTATTTGTGTTTAACAAGTGATATCACCTCGACGTCTACTTCTCTGTCAAAGCGGTTCGGTGGTGGAACGGCCTACCGGTCGCAATTAGACGTGCACAAACAAACACTTGATTCCTTCAAGAAACAAGTGAACGAATATTACTTGGGAGCCATAAATGTTCCATAATTTAAGTATTTAGTACTTATAAATCACATGTTTTTATTTACTTGTATGTATCTAATAACACCACTAATATATATATGTATCTAATAACCTCTAACCTTGTTTAGCACATAGTATATAGTATATTCCTTCTAGTACCTACGTCATATACTCACCAAAGTCCAACAAATTGATACTATTTTGTAATGATCACTTATTTATATTAATTGGAACGAAGTTCTTTATCGCGCGTTGTGAAAGGGGGCTAGACGGAAAAAATCTCACGAAAAGTTGTAACGACACTTTTATGTCAGTCATTCAGCGCCATCTATCGAATAGATAGGAAATCATTACTTTTCATCTCAGTATTTATTTTGAATTGTCACTTGTCAGTCATTCAGCGCCATCTATCGAATAGATAGGAAATCATTTCTCAAGGAGATTTTACCAATGTATAAATTGTTTTAATTAGAAACCAACTGAAAAATATGTAGGTAATACTACTTGTACTTGTCTAACCTAGCTTAAGTTGACCATTGTATATTTATACCTGGTGTACAATAAAGCGATATTATTATTATCATTGGATCTGTGTTTCTGTTTATACAAAACAGACTAGTTGAGGTCAAAATCAGAAATATCCTATATTTTTTACTACAAGTAAGCCCTTTGTAGTGAAAGAGCAAATTTAAACATTATACAATTTATCTATTGCAATAAAATTGCGGGAAGTTATAAAACTCCACCTTTTTACAATTCCCGGTGTCTTTCTTGGTGTGACTTCACAACAGCCCAAGCACTAGAAAGCTGCCAAAGCCAAGTCATCAATATGTTGCGAACTTTCTTCCAAATAGTTCGCTTTTGCCAAATTTATTTTTTCTATAATTGCTTTGCGAACGAAAACTTGAGAATAATTAACTGTTAAAAAATATCACCGACTTCAATATCATGGTGAATTGTAATAAACTGTATTCTTCATTCCTAACTTTAACCCTTAAGGTTTTTATTCCAAATCAGTTCATAAATAACGAAGTTCTGAAGAAATAAACATAAAAAAAAGAGGAATTAGGAACCTCCTTATTGGAAATCCTTTAAAAAAATATAAATAGTTAATTTAAGACGATATACTCACCGCTTGCACTTTTTGGGAAACGAAGTGAAGTATTACGTATTACGTATTATATTAAGTGTAACAGAAAGTAGTTATAGGAATAACTACTTTCTGTTACAACGAATCAATAAAATGGGTGCAGTCCGTTAGCACAAGTGTAATCGAGTAAAACAAATAAGCAGCCCTAGGTCGACATCGATTATTGTTTAGTTTCCTTTACGTATGTATATCGTCATCGCGCCTTAATACAACACAACCAGTCTATACAGAGCTCTCATCAAATTGTGAATCACCATTCATTACTTGTTTAATACCTTAAGGTGGAAGAGGTACGATGTCGACTTAAACTGGTTACCGATAACAGCATTCGGTTTGTTTAGCTGTGCAAATAGAGGTTTTGGTAGCAACACGCGCGATACCAAGAACTTTCTCGTTTACACCGTTGGACATAAATTATATTTACATTTGTTATTCCTATTAAGTCACCTACGGATGTGAAGTCTGATAATTGTGTTTGTTCGCGAACATATTTGTACGATGTAATAGTTTCTTTTATAATCTCTGTTATGACCCGGATTACTGTAGAACTATACGATTTTAAATGTACGGTAAAACATGGTAAATATTTATAACATTCGGATTTTAGTAGTAAGTTTAGTACAAAAAACTATAGCAGAAATAGTTCACAAATATGCAGACCTCAAGGATGAAGTTTTAAGAATCTGGAAACAGCAAAAACTATACATTGTCTCTATAAAATTGTTTACGACTGGTGTTATTCCAAAATACATTTATCACAGTTTAAAACTCCTTGATGCATGCTTCTTCAAGAAGCTGCTATATTAAACACTAACTAACAAAGTTTCTGCGTATAGACGAACAAACACACAATGCAATAGACGAACAGACTTAATTAACTTCTCCCAAAAACCGTGGCATTTATTTGACTGAGTCCGTAAATGTTTCTAAAATACGACCAGCGAAATATTAGAAAGAACAAATCTGACATAACAATGATAATAATAAATCTTTAATTCAGAATAATTTCTATTAATGCAATTTAATGAGTTCGAATAATATTTATACATAACTGTGAACTTGTTATAACAACAATAGACGAACAGACTTAATTAACTTCTTCCAAAAACCGTGGCATTTATCTGACTGAGTCCGTAAATGTTTCTAAAATACGACCAGCGAAATATTAGAAAGAACAAATCTGACATAACAATGATAATAATAAATCTTTAATTCAGAATAATTTCTATTAATGCAAATTAATGACTTCGAATAATATTTCTACATAACTGTGAACTTGTTTTTTTTAAAAGTAGTGTGTAGTTGCCG